ACAACCGGTTTAGTCCTCGACTTATGACCGGTTTAGTCCTCAACTTACGACCGGTTGGGGTCGCAGCATTAAAAAGGTTGAGAACCACTGCTCTAGCCCAAGAGTGTCAAATTGCCGGCCCATGGGCCGGTTTCATCATACTGGAGCTGCGCCCACCCCGAAGATAAGAAGAAAAGCCTGACAAAATGGATTACAGAGATACCAAAAAATCTACGACTTGAGAGACAAAAAAAGATAAAAGAAATCAACATCTTACCTGATTTGTCTCTCCCATCCTTAACAACATCCACAAGAAAATGGCAAGACTTTTTAATTAAGTGAAATAGATGGATGAGAAAAGCCATTTGGTAAAGAAAAAGACTAAAATCAGATTCAAGGGATTAGAAGATTGGACCTATCAGACTTAATTAGTAAATATCAAATGGAATAGCGTTAAAAAATGAAAAAATGGGGGATATAAATGTATTTTAGTTTGAGAGAGATATGTTTTTCTTTCTCTTTTTCTTTTTCTTCTAATTCTGAGTAGTATTGTATTTTTTTATATGAGAAATGTAATTGTTGGGAGGATTATTGTGAGGGAAACAGCATAGATATTTAACCGTAAATCAACTTTGAGAAAATCTTAACAGATAAAAACGATTTCAATTTTGTAGGGAAAAAGTCTAAATGAGAATGTTGAAAACAGGACATATAATGCAACCAAGAGGACTAACTAGAAAAGGAGTTCTATATTAATGCTATTACTAATTGGATAAATATTAGAAAAATGTTTATATTTAACCTCTTTGTTACTAAAATACTAAGAACTGTATTAACCTAATGTTTGCAAAAGAGAACAATATGGGAAGAAGATAAAATCAAGAAAAGCTGTTATGTAGAGTATGATATAATAGAAATTGACTATTATTGATTGTTGTGAAATGTATTTACTAAGCACCAGGTTGTTAGTTTTAAAAAAATAAATAAAATATATATTAAAAAATAAAAAAAATAAGACCCAGCCCACTCTGTTCTATCGTATGGTTCCATGAGGTGGGGCGAGGTGCACACGTAAAAATCAAGCTATGGTGGGGGGGAGCTGCGCCATGCACCCTGCAGCCGCTTACCTCAAGACCACTGCAGCCAGGCCTCCCACGCCCCAACACCTGCTTCGCCTTGTGGCGGCGGCACCAACAACCCCATCCAGCAGGAGCCCATGTGGCTGCTGCCGGCCCACTTCTTCTGTGGCTGCTCTCTGCCGCTCACATGTGATGCCCCCAGCCTCCGTTTCGCCGGCAGAGGCATTCAGGAAAGGCCTCTGCAGCCAAGAATGGAGCTCTGGGTTGAAACATATATCACCCCCCCCCCAGCCTCTGTTTCGCACGCGTCAACCTGGGGCTCCGTTCTCAGCTGCAGAGGCCTCTGCTGGCAAAATAGAGGCCTGGAGCAATGTGCGCAAGTGGTGGCAAGCGGCCACAAAAGTGGGCTGGCGGCAGTCACACAGGCTCCTGCGAGATGGGGCTGCTGGTGCCTCACTGCGAGGCGAGACAGTGGAAAAAATATGATATCCCCGAAGACCTAATGCCTCTTTTATATGCCTCTTATATATATATATATAAGACTGGGTCTTATTTTCAGGAAAACATGGTAGGTACTTGGCTTCAGCCTTTATTAATTGTATAGTAATCTACTCAGTGCAAGGAGGAGAAAAAAAGAGAGAACTTCAAGAAATTAGGAGATTCATAAGCACCTAACACAAATTCCTGCAGTCCATAGCCCAAGTAAGTTAAATTGTTCTGGAAAGCTTTATAATTCCTTTTATTTATTTATTTTGTAATATTTTATTGATTTTCTAATTTTACATTTAAGTATTTAAAAAGCAACGTGGCGGCTGGGCTAATCAATAATTCAATAACATACAAAAATCTTTAGTACAAATCTCAAACTACCACATCAAATATTTCCTCTCCTTTTCCCTTAATATCTGCTGTCTCATATTTAAACTAATATAATTCTTATTATATCTATTAAGTAAAGATAGCATTGTTACATTTATCAATAAATTTTTAGCTTATACATATTCTAGTTACTTTAACATTCAATCTTTATAAACAGTTAATGTCCCGTCAATATTTAAATTTAACATTTGATATTTATAATTTCCAAATTTTTGGTAACCAAAGTTTCCTTTATTACAATTCTTAACAAAGTCTATTATTCAAAATACACATCTATTTGAGTATATTCTATTTCCCACCATCTTACATCATCTAATTAATAATAAATACATTACATTTCTTATTTTCAACTAGTTTCCAAATGTCTTAAATTTAATGACCAAAATTTCCCCTATTTCAACATCAAATATTTCCTCTCTTTTTCTCTTGATATCTACTATCTCATATTTAAGCTACCGTAATACAGTTCTTATTATCTCAATTAAATAAAAACATATTTATTACGTTTATCAATAAACTTTTAGCTTATTACGTATCTTAATTACTTTTACATTCAATCTTTATAAACAATATCCTATTTATTTCTTTTCCCCAATTTTTAATTTCCCATCAATATTCAAATTCAACTTTTAGTATTTATGTTTCCAAGTTTTAAATGACCAAAGTTTTCTTTATCTCAATTCATAACAAAATCTGCTATTCAAAGTACACATCTTGTCTATTTAAGTATACTCTATTTTAATTAGTAATATAAAATCTTTGCTGATAAGTCAAAACCCCAGTTTTCTTCAGCCTTATTCTAGCTTTCTTCCTTTGCCATCTCGTCCTCCATGTCAGTGCTTTTAGGTCATCAAATAGATCTCCCTCTGTTATTATATATATTATTTGAAATAAAAGAGACCATCCAGTAGCCATTTTTTGGAAGGGCTAATAAATCATCTCTCTATTATTCCAGATCCCCATATGTTTATCTTCCCTTCGGTCTGTTCTTCTTCTTGCTCCTCAAGTTTCTTCTGGTTTATATAGAACGTCTTTTCCATTTTCAATGTTGTCAGTCCCTTTTCTGGATTTTCCATTTTCCATTGTTGGTCAGTTGAATCGTCTGTCATAGTATTTAATTGTTCCACTTCTTCTGTTATGTTTTGTGTAGTTGATTCTTTAGTTGTAGTCAAAATTTGAGTTTGTATATTTAGGCTGACATCTTGTTCTTTTCTATAGCATCTTATTTCATCACAAGCTGAAAGAATGGTTTCATGTATTGCTTTTAACATAAGGAGAATCTGTTCCTGGTCTTCATCCATATTCTCTTAGTAGTGTGTTAAATTAAGAGCTTTAAAGTCAGAGAATGAAAATAATTTTATATGAGTATAGAATACAGCTGAGCTTCTCACAGCTGATAATTGTCAAGGTTGAAAAAGTCTTATCTGTAGTCTGAGCTTCCAGCCAAGTCTCCTTTAGACAATAACAAGTTGTAATATCAAACGTAGCCACAAGATGTCACCAATGCCATTTAAGGTTTTTTTAGTCCAAATTTTTTATAATTCTTTTTCCAATTTTATTTCTTTTTTTGTAAATAAAAACCAAGGTCTTGGATAAGGATAAGAAATCTTTTGGTCCCCAAATTCTAGAACCATATAAATCCAGTTAGATTAAGGTTATTCTTTCAGTGTTTTAACTCCCCTGGATAGTCAGTTGCTACTATTCTTAGAGGGTGGGATAAAAGTTCCCTTCCCTCTCTCCTCACAGGGGGAAGATATTTTGGGCAGCTTTTGCAGGAGCAAAAAAATTACTTGGGATTAAAGAGAGGTTCAGATCTCACCCAGTCTCATCCGCGCTGCTTTAGAAGTGCCTGGTGGTAAGTTTGACTTCACTGTCTGCAGCCTAGTGACGAGCCATATTCCTATGGCTGGTCTTTCGTCCGCCAGTTTGGAAAGCTGCCGTGGATCGAGCGGAAGGGCTACCACCCTCCTGCGATCAAGGGCAACTTTCGACCCTTTCCAGGGTCCCCCAGCGGTGTGAAATCGGACGTGGAAGACGGAGCTCGCCTTCCAGCATCTGCGGTGTCTGCGATGTCAAACCGGAAATCAGCTTTGTAATTCCTTTTAATTTGCCATAAACAGAAGGCGATTATAGTGGGGAAGATGGGCATTCTTTTCCCAAAATCAGAAAACAAATAAGCAAAGCACTACTGATCTCTTGAGTTCTACAGTGGAATTCCTTACATCTCTGAAGAACAGAACTTTTGCTCATTTTATGGAAACTCGGCGACTGGAAGAAGGGATGTTTCAGTGAAGGTTTCAATTTTTATAATGCCAAACAACATGTTTTTCATGATCATGGCTAGGTTAGGGTTAACAAGATTCTGACAAGAATATATAAAACGTGAAATGTATAGTTTTAATAAAAACAAATAACGAATACTTGTTTCTCAAATGAATCTCAAAAATCCATTTGATTAATTCTGTTCAGACTGCAAAATATATTTTTTAAAGTTAATAGCGTGGAAAAACCTGCTGAAATTCTAAACAGGAAACTTTGTTTTTATACAGTCAAAAGTAAACAACTCAAAATAAAATTCTGTTGTTACAAAAACAAAACAAAAAACAGGAATAGATGGAAATTGTATTTCCTACCCAAAGAGATTTCTTTCTAGTCCTTTACATAAAGTGGGCAGGAGAAATAGCAAAAGAAATTTGAACACTGATTGTTATAAACTGAGCTTGCATTTTATACACTGCAGGTGGTGGAATTGTTTTATAATGATTTTATAGTTTTGTAACAGTACATCTATTCATCTGAGCCTTTATCTCCTGGGAAATATGTTTTGCGGCTCTTTGTGTTGCCCAGAGAGGCCTGACAAAATGTACCAAATAGAGGTTTCATGCTGCCATCTACTTCCAGGATTGATTATGAAACATCAGCTTGATTATTTATGTTTTGGTGACAGGTGGGAAAGATGTACAAAATTGTTGCTAGAAACATCATGTTGACAATTTTCAAAAAGATGTATGATAACGTTTGGATTAATGAAACTTTGTCAAATGTTTTCTAAACACAGAATTTCAGCCTGGAGACCCAGATCTTTATCTTAAAGCTGCGCCAAGGACTGACTACCTGTGGATCTTGGGCTGTGGCACCCAAGCAAATTCTGAAGAACTGTGAATTAAAATTTGTTGGGTTGAGAGATTTATCATGGATATCAAGGAAGAGAGAGCATCAGAGGAAGAACAGCAATTTATTCCATCTGCACAAGGAGATAATTATGCAGAATCTAAACTCACAAGTAAGTAAATTCAGTACGTAACTATCTGCTGTATCATGATCCTGTGAATGGCGTTAGAAAAACTTATTCTAAATGTGTAGGTACTGACTTTCATCACATATCATAGATAAAAAATATATTTCCATTTTACAAATTGGCAATAAGATTGGAAGAAATGTTAACTCCAAATCTCATATCTCAAGTCTGCTGAACCCTGCTGATTGTACTTCTGAATCATTAGATATTTAGCTTAGTGTGCTCATCATTGCTCTATTACTATGAAGCTGCTTCAAAAAGCTTTACAATAGTTAATGATGTAGTAACAGCTGTATTTGCTGTTCTAAATGAAGTAGCAAAAGTCTTGATATCCTAAATTAAACATACTAAATTGAGCATGTTGGCTTTGACAGTAGTCTTCCGCAGACTAAAAATAAATTCATTGGAATTTATGAGATTTAGACAACCACATTTCACTTTAAAATTCTTCATAATTTTACATTATTTCACCTTGCAATATTTATCTATTAGATTTATATGCCACCCATCCCACTGCAGCAGTGACTCGGAGTGGGTTATAAATTGATAAAATATAATACAAAATTAAAATTACAAAATAGTTAAAGAGTAAAACCAACAGGACAGGCAATATGGAGTGGGAATCCTCTCTCTACCCTGTCAGCCACCCCCAGCGTAGAACAGCCCTTGCAGGGCTCCATCCCAGCTGGCAGAATCAGGTTTTAAGGCTCTTCCTGAAGGGCAGGAGAGTGGAGGCCAACCTTATATTTGGTTGTAGAGTATTCCACAGGGAAGGGCCATAGCAGAAAAGGCTCTTCTCCTGAACTGTGCCAGGCAAAATTCTTTGGCAGAAGGATTTGAAGAAGGCGTCTTCCGCAGGAGCAAGTGGGATGGGCTAATCCCATTAAAGAATATAAAGTACTTTAACATGTTTATAGTATTCAATATATAGTCATGTAACCTGCTGAAGTGAAAATATGTTTTGCTTGTCATTATTATGGGGAAGGAATGAGTATGTAACCTGAATAATGAATGGTGTGAATAAAGAGTGGTGATAAAATGTCTATGTTGGGTATAAATAATTCCAGTTAGTAAAATAGTGATAGATTTAAAAAAATGGAGAAGGGCAGCTTTTGTTTGATAGTTTAAAATGCTGCTGACAGAATAATTTCCTTAATGTTATAACTAATGTAATAAAAATATTCTCATGTATGAATGTAATATAATATATGCTTTCACCAATAGGTCTCAAGAAGTTTATTAATGAACCAAAGTTTGAATTCAGTCTTGGTAAGACAAAATGTTCAATCTATGTTAATATTTCTAAAATGTATTTTTATTTTAGAAAGTCTGAAAATGAAGTGATATTTCTGAAATAATTTGTAATGAATCTTGAATTATTTTTATGAGATCTTAAATATAGTTCTTCTCCATAAAGTGCTGATTTTTTTAATCAGTAGAAGATTCAGTGACACTCTTTATTTTGTTATAGTTTCCTTTTCTTTATAGAGAAATAATATAGTATTAACCTTCTTTCCTGCCTGCCTTTCCTCCTATACATTGAAGTTCAGGTAGAAGAAATAAATCACCACAGTAGGTGGGATATTTTAATTTATTTTTCCCATTTGAGTGGCTTCTAAGGGGAGCCAATTATCAATGACAAAGCATCCCAACAGCAGAAAATGCTTTCACAGAAAATTTGTGTTGTAATGAAAATGTATTAGATGTTTTTTCTTTTTCTGTTAATAAGCCTTACCCTGATTTTGACAAGTGCCTCTATTTTTCTGCTGAATAATAATATTTTGAACTAGTTAGAGAAAGAAATCTCAAAGAAATAGGCCATCTTTATAGACATATATAAAAATATTTATCAGATAGAAATATGAAATTATTTTCTCCCAAATAATCCATGTGTGTGGCAGGAGATCTTAAAGTTTCTGGGAAAAACAGAAGATGCTTAGATATTGATAGCCAATGTGGTAAAATGGTATGATGTTACGATCCATGTTCAAATTCCCAGTCATTCATGGAAGTTCTCTGGTAGGGTTGGGACAGTTATTATCATTCAACAGGATTATTCTTTGGAGATATAAGTCTTGTACTTCACTTACATACAGTATAGGCACCTACCAAATAAAAATAATAAGTACTAGAACAGAGATCAAACAGATATGTAAAGAGTTATAGATGTCACTGTTGCAAAGGATTAGCTTTTGCTTAAATAAAGTGTTTACCTTTTTCAAACACCTAAATAGGGATTTCTCTTTTATTAATTTTCTCATGACCTCCGCTCTTGTTTTTCTAATTCTCTTTCCCATAGCTATCTTTCCTATCACCTTCAAATTTTTCCTATTGTTTTGCTCTTTTCTAGTGGAACGAAAGGTGTGTGTGTTTGTGTGTATGTGTACCTAGGAGTATTTGAGGTTTTGTATTTGAGAGGGATTTATTCATGAGACCGAGAATGGTCAGTATATAAAGATAGGACATCAATTAATTTTATAAAAGGGGCACTTAATTTTACTGATAATAGTAAAAGGTTAAATAATTAAATTAGCCTTTTTTTCTTCTGGTTTGTTTTTGTTTTTGTGGGTGGAGTTGGTCCTTTTTTGGACCGTTGTTTCTGGTCGATATATATACCACAAAGTTTTATATTCAGTCACATGAAACATTGGTAAAGCTGAGTGAAGTATAAGGTTTGTTCCAACTGGAATTCACAGCTTTGGATAACAAAGCTCATGTTGTTAAACTGTGTATTAAGTAAAACAAAATCTATGGATATCTGAACTTGTAAATTTATTTAAGAGCTGAGTGGATTCTGCTGAGATTTAACCATTTTTAACAAGCATAGTTTTAAATTCTTCTTTTATACAGTAATAATGTTTTATTATTACAGTATAGTTTGAATTTCACAAAAAAACCTTTGCATTTCTGATTAAAACAAAGTATAAACAACAAGGAAGAAGAAGCTATGTATTTTGAGGGTAAGAAGTATGAAAAAGTTTTAAACTTAAGTGTATTTATACATTGTTATTTAAGAAAAGGTGGTTTTCTGAACACCCTTTCATGTTCTGTTATTTGTCAATTTTATTTTGTATGCTTTTAGTAATGACATTTTGCTTACGTTTTGCAACATTAAAGATGTTGACTATACTTCTCGGTTAGTTTGTGCCATGGATGATTTATGTTCTAACAGAATATTAGGTTGATAGCTAAAAGCCAGTTTGGTTGTAATGGTGAAGGCCTCAGAGACTAGTCCTGTCTTAGATGCAAAGCCAGCTGAATGACTTTGGATTAGTCACTTCTCGCAACCCTAGGGAGGCGGCAAGTGCAAACTATATTCAAAAACTCTTGCCAAAAACCGTGCAGGGATTTGTCCAGGCAAGTTCTGAGAATTGGACATGAGTGATCCAAAATAAAAAACAACTGATCGTTAGGAATATTGGTATAAAGAAGTTGATTTCTTCCTATTAGAACCATGTCTGATTTTTTTCTCTTATGACATTGATCAGGTATTATATCAGAGTATTATATCTTTATAATCTAATTATAATATATAGATATATGTAATAATATATAGCTATAATTGTAATAAAATTATAATTATATCTATACTCTGTATCCTTTCTTTGTAGGATTTTTTTTTCTTGGAGCCTTCTCTTTCAATTTCTCTTAATCATTTCAGAATTCTGTTCCTGGAACCAGAAAGACTTCTTGAACTGGGGTCTGGGAAAAGCAGAATAAAGTGGAACAGTTATTCCCCATTACAGTCCTGCCCAGGCTGCTTAAAATTTCATTTAGCTTCAGAGGTTTTACCCTAAGTAAAAAAACAATGAGTACAATAAAAATAAAATGATTTGAATATTGTTGAATTCAAAAAACAATAGAGACATATTGGAATTTCCTGCATAATGTACATGTTATGCTTAACATAAGAAGAAATATATGCAACCTGCATACAAAATATTTGTATCTAGCCATAACAACTTTCATAGCAAGAATATCTTTTGAAGTACAATATATAATTACTGTGGAGAAATAAAAATGAACATTGTGGTCTGACTAGAAAATTGTGGTCACTAGACTAGTATGAACAAATCAAATGTTTCTTAATCTTTAAAAGAGAGTGAAACAGATTATGACATTTTATAGAGATGGCTGAAGAATAAAAGCCTTTTCTGAATGTAACATTGAACCTATACTATTGATCGCAGAATATGATTATTTTGCAATTTTTATCAGTATTAGAAAAAGCTTTTTATCTGACATTCTAGATTGGTTAATTAAGAAGCTTTGAGCTATCTTTATTATAGTTCAAGCAGAAGGAAAATTATTGAAACTGCAGAGAATTTATCAAAATATAAGCAGTTAAAAAATTGAACCATGTTGAACATGATATTTGTTCAGATTTAGAAAAACTGCATCTTAGTATTAGGTTCCTGAAAAGTTTGTTTATTCATAGATTTGTGGCTGAGGAAAAGCTTAATGTTTCTGATGGACTTTTGCATGGTTTTCTTTACCTCATATTAACCCTGTGGTAGTTCTGTCTACAGAGGTTTGAGTTCATTGGAAAAAAATATACTTAAGATGAAAAGTCTATTATCAAGCACCACTTGGCATATCTTTATATTACTTGCTTAATTTTTCTGTTTGTCAACAGTCCATTTGAATGTGCTTGACATTACGTAGAAGTGGCAAGATGATGATGGAAACTTTTAGCAAAGACAATTTGAAATAATTGTACAATTTCCTCACTTGCCTTGGGATATATTTAAGCAGGCTTATGTAATTTTTAGTCCTGAAATTTTATTGGTGGGCCATCCATGCTATTCTCTTATCTTGATGGAAAATTTTAATGTTCAGCAAGCAGCTAATTTTAGCTAAGTAGTTTGGCACTACTTTAAACTTTCTCCATTGTAGACAATGAAAATTCATTTAAAGTATCATTGCTACATGGAAAAAGTAGCAGTTTTAAGGGTCACTGCTGAGAAGGGACAGGGTAACCACCTATCCTTCCATTAAAACTGTAATGTTATTGCTTTCATTTTGTCTATTAATTTTCGCTTTTCAGTATTTTGGAAATTCTATGAGTAAACATAATAATTAAACATATAAGTAAGTTTTAAATTCTAATTGCCAAGTAGGAAGTATTTTTGAGAGAATTTTGTAATTTCCTAAGCGAATATAAAGGAATTAAAAGGGAAAAACATAGTGTGCCTCCTTTGTGAAAGGTATTTCAAAACTTTTCTGACTGAACTGTTCTTAATTTGAACAATATGTTTCCCATAACTTTGCACTTTTTCTGTAGCAGAATTCAGTATCCTCAAGGATATTGTCTAGGGAATGAGTGACAGAATGACATTTCTAAAAAAAATGTCAGTCTCCCCCTGCCCTGCCAAGCCTCCCATCCCCTCCCATTTGTCCCCTTTGTTGCTTCAAAGGGCTGTTGGCTGGAGGTGCTGTGTGGCCAGCAGTCACCATGTCTCCCATATCCCAGCCCAGTGCCACTACCTACCCCACCCAGCCACCAGGAGATCCGCCTAATTGTCCCATATAGTGAATTGCCTGAGGACAAGCGTTCCTTGGTGAATCACCCAGGACAAGGGGGTGGGGGAGAAGTGCCAGCAGACCATTTCCAGGGGAGGAGCGCCAGCGGAGAGTCAGCCGAAGATGAAAGTTTCTGGTGGGTTGGCTGTGGTGAAGGGCCTACAGTGATGTTGGGGCAAGGATGTGGCCGCTGCCAATTGTACCATGCTGCACACCAAATATAGTGAAACAGAAAAGCTAGAATGGATAGTTGCTGAATAAATGTGGATCAATATACAAAGAGTGACAAGCATGAAAGATGTATAGCCTCAAGAATTAATTAGATCATACCTCAAAAGAAATATATGATATATACTGGGAGAAAGAAAAGGCCAAGTCCTGAAAAAGACAAAACTGAGAATTTTCAGCAGTGAGAGATAATGTGTGAATTGATCTAAATAAAGGATGGATGGATGGTTTGCAAGTCTAGGAAATGTTTGGAAAGGTATAATGAACATTGTTATGAACAACATTTGTTACAATATTGTTCATAGGTATAAAGGTATAATGTTGAATGTGTTCTTAATTTCTTTTTTTAATAATATTTTTATTAATTTTCTATTTTTACATTTAGGTATTTTAAAAACAACGTGGTGGCTGGGTTAATCAATAGTTCAGTAACATACAAAAATCTTTAATACAAATCTCAAACTACAACCTCAATATTTCCTTTCTTTTTCCCTTAATATCTACTCTCATATTTAAGCTTATACAGTTCTTATTATATCAACTAAATAAAAACATCATTATTACATTTATCAATAAATCTTTTTTTTTTTTTTTT